TCATCGGCTGTTCCCCAAAAGTTATTGGGTCAAGTTGCTCAAAATCCAAAATCTAGTACAATTCAGGACGGATGCAAAATTAATAGCACATCCAGCTGACTTCGGCTGGCTATCTTTTCAGTCCTTAGCTTGAGAGATTAGCTTGAGAGAATTTTCTGGACTCGGACTTTTTGGGTGCTAACAAAAATGTTAATGTTTTGTTTCTCTCCAACATGTTTTCCTACGGACTGGTTATGGCTCACTTGCCAATTATAGGACCCCTGGAACGTGGCGACCATCGCTCAGGATATTGTCGTGAAGATGTCGAAAGAACTTGCCATCCCAGATGTACATAAATCGCTTGCCAGCACCATTGTACAGTCATCTATCAGGTGAATTTTGGATATTTTGGTAACTGAAGCCGAGGGTGAAGAATGAAAACATCATGATTATTAGGTACTCTTGAGATGTGCCACTTCATATATTTCTTCTCAGAAATGTTAAGGAGTTGGTTTACTCGTATGAACTTATTGTGACTAGGAAAAGCTGCTTGGGCTCCCGAGGTAGCGAAAATTCTATCACTTCCAGTGAATGTCTTCGAAACTGCAGATTGAATAGCCTTAAATAGCGATCGAGAAACATTTCATTTCCACTATTACTTGTTACCAAAAAGCAGGGTACAGCATCGTTGCGTGAAACACACAGGGGGGGGGTCGCGTATTGGCTGCTGGACGAAGGGGGGGGTCTATTCGCTCCTTGTTAGAAGTGATGGAGTCGAATGTGGTGCTGTTGAGAGGAGTTTGCTGCGTGGAAGAATTATTTTTCGGTTGCGTCCCCCCGCCTACAGCAAATTTTAGAAAATAGGAAATTTTTTTGGAAATTTTGGAGAAAAAAGTTTTGGAAGTTTTGTAGATGTTCCGGAAAAATGGTATGAAGTTGGGGGTAAATCTAAGAAGTTTTCACATTCCATATGTTCCCTTTACTTACCCCCCCCCCTTGACGGAAAATTTTTGCTGGTAGGAAGCTGGGAACTTGTATGAAAAGTTAGGTATGTAGGACCTGCGGAAGGGGGGGGAGGGGTCGGTATCAAGACCTCCTTCGGGGGGGGAGGGAGGCTCGATAGTGACACCCCAATTTCACACATCACCGCCATCACATCACATCACATCATGCCCGCACCCTGCTTTGTCCGGTCTCTGCCTCATAGTCATATAACCGCTTGGCGAACGAACGTTCTTCAAGAAATGAGCGAGCCAATGAAATTAGCTGTTGAGCAGTGTTTCCCGATTAACTCGTCTTCGTATTTAAACCGCGCAGGGTATCTTGCTAAAAATTCATGAAGATCCTGCAAAGACACAAAGTGTACCACTGGTTGAATTCTTTAGGAATAGGATGTATTTTCAAGGTTCGCGGCGGGAGTGCTGTATTGTGCATGGGACATGTCCGAGGGTGCAACGGACGCGATCTGTATCAAAGTCGATGGTGGACGTATCGCTCTTCGAGGGGTTGGTGTCTATCTTCACGCAGAACAAGTGAGGCGGGTGTGGCAGTGCGAGGTGAGGTTTTTACAAGGATACGGTGTTTGTCCATACTTCATCTCTTGGGCAGGTTTCTGAATTTCAACTTTGGAAATGTTACGAGCCCTCTTCTTATAACCTTCAGGAGTGTCACGAACACTTCCTCTATGAATCTCTTCAAAGCTAGTTTTTTTTCAGATTTATGTGCTACGCGAAGGTGATCAGTTCTCCCTGTTGGCAAAAACTTCATGTGAGTTGAACAGCGGTGGTACGGCGGACACTGGCGTTATTCTCTTGCCGGAATCGATCACGCTGGCTGCAGGGGTTACCTATGCTATCAAGGTATGGACGCCGGAGAACGGGAAGACCTACTGTGGGGAAGGTGAGGAAAGTCTTCCTAAGAATTCATTGTACCATTGGGTCCTGATGTTTCAAGTCCCGTCTTACGCTGATTGTACAGGACGAATCGCGGGGACTGTTGTACCTTTCTCGTTGGTGCTACTCCTTCCTCGCAAAGGGGTTAAAGCAGGAGAGTCCCATTGCGCTAGTGATTTCATGCGTGGCGTTTTTCCTTGATACCTAACGTACATTTTGGTGTTGTTCAGAGCGCTAGTTCCTTTACAGCGGCTTACGATGTTACGGTTTTCTCGTTTCGGTATTCTCCCCTTCACACTTGTACTAAACATTCTAAGCAGAGTAGGGAGACGCGGATTTTCTCAGGGCCAGGCTTAATTTGAGGGGTCGGCGTCTTCTGAGTTTATCAGTTCTAACGATCATTAGAGAGCTTTTCCGAAGATTTTATTGCTGCCCTGCCTGTTGAGCTCACGGTTGTGAGCCTGTTATAATAGGTTTTCAAGAAGTTTTCGTTCAAGGAGGCGTTAACTATATCCGCTTGAACAACGGCGCTCGAGTCACATTCTCGTCGTGTTCGCTGAGTGAGAATGGCACTTCATTGCAACGTGGACAAATACCATACTTCCTGTATTCTGTAGTGGAAACGGAGAAATCAGAGAATACAGAGCTGAAAGAAGAGGTGAGCTATTTGTAACCAAAGAGACAGGCAACGCTTTCCCTTCAATTGCATCACCAATAGTTGCCTTTCTTGACTCATTGAATAACGTGTCGCGCGGCTTGTATCTGAAGATGTGTGGTGGAATAGAATACAAAACATTTGTGACTACATATTCTCCAGCTTCTCTCTTGTTGTAACCTCGGCATCGTTGTTTGATTCGTCAATATAGTATAGTATAATAGTAGCAGTCAGTTTGCTACTGACTAACATCCGCATGTGATGGCGGATTCACGGTGGAGTTCTGGCCTCTGAAGAAGACGACCCTGTCGAAACGTTAGGCCGTTGAATAAAGATTCCACCTAAAAACCTCGAGAGGCACAGCAATATTAACGAATTTGTGACTACCCGTCATTTATCATATCGACATGGAAGAGAAAAGAGGTACCGTAATCTGGTGAAGGGGCACCGTAAAGCCAATACCGTAATCTCGGGCCACGCCCACTCAGGGGCGAACACGTAAAGCGCGCAGCATTTTTCCAGTTTTCGAAGCAAATCGCTTTTTACATATACTAATCACACTTCTTCAGTTACGACGTTCTATTCCTCATATAACGAAGCTGAACATTCAGGTGCATAAGTCGTACGTATTGCTTCTACGGCTTTTGTCCAACAAAATCGGGGCGTTTCTCGTGAATGGTCATATCCCACAATGTGCCAAGTGAGTTTCTGCGATTTCCTTAAGTTCCTTATTTACTTCTATCCTATCCTTTTTGAAAGGGAGAATTATGAAGGGACAGTGAAATACAGTATCGCTT